CTAAAAACTAATATACCTCTACTTTGAATTTTATAAACGATGGTTTATATTGAATTCTATTGGAATGCGAAAATGGGGTGTTACACTACAAATCACACTCACACTCTACAAGATTATTTTCATTACAAATTGTTGGTGAATTGTTTAGTAATTGTATTTAAGTGTAATGGATTGACTTGTTGACCAAAATCAATCTTGATGAATATTAAACGAGTAAGGAAGGTGCGGAGTGCGCACTTGTTTAAATTTATTCAAGACTAAAAATACACTGCTATTTAGGGGTGAAGCCCCTAAACGAGCGAGGGTCCGGGGACAGATCTCCTGGGAGAGTGGTCCAAGGGGGCAGAGCCCCTCGCTTGCATCAAATTTGTGACAATACAAATGCATTAGAAATCTAAATTTTGGAAATAAACCCGGTTTTGACTTTATTTTGACCCTTATAGAATACCTGAATTTTGCCAGTTTCTGACTGTTAGAGACTGTTTTTTGATAGTTTTCATACATACAACTGTTTTGTGACAGTTTTTTGATGAGAAAAGTGCTTAAACAGTTTTGGTCAAAAATCTGGTACTCACGAAAATCATAAAAATTTTCATTCTTTATTATTGTTCTCTCATTTTCCGAGTCTTATCCGATTGAAGATTCAGGAGTACCTTTCAAATACTTCAATCTGAAAGCAATTACACAATTCTCAGAATATCCAAGTGCTATTTCTTACCCTAAACTTCTAACACGAATCACTCTCTACACTACTCTCTTCTAATCTAGAAGAAAACATAACTCTATGATTACAATACGCCTCATAGACTCAAACCCTAATTGGGGACGAAGATGAGAGAATGGGAGCAGAAGTGAGACTAGTGTATGTGTGATATTTCTCAGTTATGAGAGATATCACACACAAACACTAATATATACTTCAAACTCCAATGGATCTAGTAAATTACCGAAATAAAGATCCGACCCGTGGATCCGCATGTTTTCTCCACATTTAATTCTAACAAAGAAAGCCACAGTCCACAACATTTCAAAGTGAACAGAAATAGTCCTTGGACGAACAATATTAACAAATATCATACCAACACAACTTACCAAAAAGACGTTGAACTTAATTATAGACACTTTCAATGATTAGTTTGAACGAGAAAATATTCAATATTTCAACAATAGGATTAAGCGTACAAGTAAATTGGAATAGTTACTCAAGATTAGCGCAATAATAGTCGTAAGGATTTGCTATTATAATCTCATTAGCTTTTTTGTAGAAGTTATATCCGGGGGAGGTATATGGAGTGAATACTAAAAATGCATATGACTTGCTATATATAAGAAAGGAAAATCAAGTAAAGAATAGTACTGTACTATTTTTTATGTCCACTCAAACTTTTACGTTAATCTAATTGGGTAACTCTTTGATCTTATCCTGCAGTAAATAATATTCATGAAATAACATGAAGTGTGTAAAAATATTGGAATTATAACGTTGACTAATGAGATGGAAATCCGGACTTGGTAACAAAACTATAGATTGAAAGCCATGTATAACAACAATGTTGCATGTGATTGCTCCTAACCGGTGGTGTTTGTCACATCGTTACCATGTATATGTTCTTAGACGAGTAAATTTTTTAATATCATTAATGTATTTTATTTAGATACATATAATAATGACAAAGTAAAAGTTGGTACTCTGTGCACATTACTTACCTTTGTGATCTCTACTCTAAAGATACTAATTTTTCCATGTTTTCGCCATATTCCAAAAAAATAGAATGCAACGTTTTACGCTACACGGATATATTAAACAGTTGTATAAGTCAACCATGGTATTTTTAGTCGAGATTATGTGATTTTTTCTGAACAACAGCTTGACTGGTTAGGGGGGTGTTCAGCAAAAATAGTTGGTAGTGGATCGTGTAGCAGGTAGCGGGTAGCTTGTAGCGTTTTGTTAAACGCTACATGAAGTAGCATTTGAATTTGGAGCATTTTGTTTAAATTAAACGCTAGAAGCTTGTAGCGCCAAACGATCATTTCTATTCAAAACGGAGCGTTTTGTCAAACGCTAGAAGCTATAAGCTCTCAAACGTTCTGTGCCGAACACGCCCTAGATGTTAAGGTTAAAGCTCCAATTTGTGTTAGCACTATGGATCGAATCTTGTCATCCCCATCATCGCAAACTTAGATGCTATGCCTCTACCAATTGGCCGGGCAATTCCCAATTGGCAGTCGAGATTATGCGATTAATAATATATAATCAACTAATTATTATTATTATTAAACAATGCGACTAATAATATATAAACTATATTTTTTTAACTTAAAATAGTAATTTATACCTTAAACAAATTATGTATTTTTACTTTTATCTTAAGAAAACAACACATTACAATTATTTAACTATAACATCTATAAACTTTTATTTAAATCCAAAAAAAAAAATGTATTTATATTTTAACTCAACATAAATTTAATTCATTTTTTAATTTATGTGTGTAAATTTATAATTAATAATAATGTTTTTGTTATTATTTATTCTATTTAAATTTGTGAACCGTGAAACTAACCAATTTTAATATTATATATATATAGATATATAGATAATATATATATATATATATATATATAGATATAATATATATATATATATATATCAAAAAACCTTAAAAAAACCTTAGAAACCTTAAAATGTATAAAAAAAATATTTTGAGATCACAATTTTTTTTGAGTTTATATTACTAAAACTCACAGCTTAATTTATAAATCCGTTGAACTTTCTTTTGAAAAAAAACGAAAAAAAAGCGTTTTTTTTATTTTTTTTCAGTGAGTTTATAAAGAAAGTTGTGCTTTTTAGTAATATAACATAAAAAAAAATTGTGATTTCAAAGTATTTCTTTATTCATTTTTAAGGTTTTTGTTTTTAATAGAACCTAACTATATATATATATATATATATATATATATATATATATATATATATATATATATCTCTATATATATATTATATATATATATACTTATAAAGGAGATATTTTTCCTATCACCTCATGCATTTGAAACCCCCACACCCTTTCACCTTCAAAGTAATTAATCACACATCATGATAGGTTTTGTAACGTATATAATATGTTTAATAAACAACTAATGGATAGTCTACTATAAAAATGTCATTCTCTTTCAGTAGACACACAAATACAAATCACATACAAAATTTACAAAGAAAACAAGTTTAAATGTTCTGTTATATACTAATTTTATTTATTTATTTTTTTTCTTGGTTTTTGTATTCTTTAATGACAATCATTGTATGTTGTGGTTGAACTTTAATGTAAATTAGATTAGATTCATATCTTTGATCATATGTTATGGAAAGTGATATAGATAACATTTAATTAAATATTGTATATATGTTTGTATGTTTGTGCTGTTTCAAAGTAATAATTAATTAAAAATCATGGATATGCAATATTATCCATAGTATCCATGTAAGTCTCTTTTGAAATGCAAAATGTCTATCTTATCACTTTATATTTTAGTATATGCTTAACATTTTAATGATAATAATAAGTGTATTTTAAGAGTTTTCTTTCATTTATTAATAACAATAAGTGGTTTTAAAACTAATGAACAATAATTATAAGTTATAAAATCAAATTATAAAAATTATGGATATGTCATATTATCCATGCAAGTCTATTTTGAAATGTAAATTGTCTATCTTATCAATTTAATATTTAGTGTATGTTTCACATTTTAAAAGCAATATTAAGTATTTCTTAAAAGTCTTCTTTAACATATTAATAATAATAAATGGTTTAAAACTAAAGAACAATCATTTTAAATGATAATAACATCAATTTATAAATTACATAACGTTATCAACAAATAAATTATATTTTAAATGAACATCATTATTGAAATTACAAAATAATCGTATAAATAAAAATTTAAATTAACCAATCATAACAATTGTTAAAAATAATCGAGTGTGAAGAACACATCAATGAAAATCATTAAAAAAGTTCATACTACCTTATAGAGGATTTAATTAGTAACAATATATGAAAATGAAAATATTTATATAGGGTTGAACGTTTTTACATAACAAACAATCTATTTTCTTGGTTATTCTAACCGAATACCATATGTCTGGATAATAGATGTCATCCACTATTGAATATATAGATATATATATATATATATATATATATATATATATATATATATATATATATATATATATATATATATATATATATAGAGGGTGAGGTTCAATAGAAAACCATAATTAACCAAGGAATCAAGGAACCAATCTTTTTTTCAACTTTTAGAACTTATTTTTTATCAAAAAAAACCTAAGAATACAGAAATTCATAACTTTTTATCCTTTTTCCAATGATATCAAATTCGATTTTTTTTTTTTTTTTTACGTCAAATTCACAATGTGAATCTTTGAAAATTCACAATGTGAATACGGATTCACACGGTGAATCCGAAAAATATTTTTTCAAATTCACAATGTTAATATATGAATTTAGATATTTTTAGATTTTTTTTTCGATAAAGAATAAGCTCTAGAAATTGAAAAAAAGATTTGGTTTCCTTGAAGAACTAATAATTATGGTTTTCTATTGAACTTTTATATATATAATATATATATATATATATATATATATATTATATATATATATATATATATATATAACTGTCAATAAAAAAAAAAGGGGTAACAGAATTTAAATAAAAGTTATTAATAACTAAGAAATGGTTACTAAGCGACCATTGTTTACGGAATACATTAAGATACGACTAATTATAAGCCCTTAGAATTCTCTTTACATACTTCTGCCTCCTCGATATGGCGAGGGGCGGCTGATGTAACTGCCTCTAGCACGTAACTAGAGTTATACTATTAATTAAATTTTTACTTAAAAATGTGATTAATGAAGCTACGTTTTGTTCAATAATGGCCATGGCGTTAGTAATGCATGGCCACGAACAGGCTATAATAATTGGTAGTGGAGATCCGCAACAAGAAGTAATTGATGTAAATTTGAGAGTGTTTGTTGGAGCATCAAAGACGCTGACCGGAGTCTGTCGTTTTCTCGCTTGAGTAGTTGTCCATTATGGTTCACAAATCTTAACCTGTTTTTAAGTTCCTGGTTACCCGTCGTGTATCGGGTTACCTGGTTCTTTAGATTTTCCAAGTGCTTTTGTTTTCTCACGCGGGATCGTTTGGCTGACTCTCGGTTTGAGATCATTCGTTTCCTCCTACGTTCATCTATCATCTTAACTGCCCACTGATTCGTTCCACAATCATCGGAGCCTGAACTTGAGCCATTGGTTTTCTGGGTGGAGTTGTCAGAACCAGAGGAGAAAAGGAGAGGATTTTGAGGTGGGAAATCGGAAAAAATGTCATCGAGGTATCCATTAAAGGAGACACGATAGCCAGTGGAGGGGAAGATGGAAGATGACATTGCAAGACAAAGTAGTGTATATGGTGTATGGGAGGAAGTAGGAGGAAAGGGAAGAAACTATGGATAGGGCGGTAGTATTTAAGGAAACTGAGAAGTGTGGGTAAGGCCTACCGGGGGTATTTTTGTCATGAAAGTTGGTAGTGGCCACCTGAGTTTTAGATTATTAATAATTAAATTTGAGAAATTCAGAAAAATTAGTTATAAAGAGCTTTTGAGCTATTCAAATGTTAGATCCTAACTCTCATAGCATAGTCGCTTGATATATGTCGAATCATATATTTTCATTTCAGTAGTCTTTAAAGAGAAATTGATCACTTCAATATCATGCTATATATATATATATATATATATATATATATATATATATATATTTGACTAATAAAATCAAAAAACTAATAAGCATAATACGAATAACGAAATCCAACTTACTTATCAAGGAAGAAAACAGGTGGGAAGGGTGTGGGACACATGTCAGCACCCGATCCAATGTTTTAAAAGGCAGCCAATAAGAAGGGGATTCCGTTAATGTCCGTGGGCCTCTAGAGATCCCGCAATATGGTAAATGGTGTCGGCTGATTTAATATTCTTTAAACTTCAATGTTAGATCTTATTACAAGTCTGGTGTCACAAGTACTTTTCAGTTTTCACGTCCTATAAAAGTCTAGCTTTACTCATGGGTAACTTTATAGTAGATAAACATGTCAATTAAGATCCAATATTTTTATAAAATCACGAAATTGATACTAGTACGAGTGTATGAGTATAGATCAAATATCTACCAAGGCAAGTCGTACCAAACAATGGTTAATTGTATTGCTAATTCTACAATCGGAGTGTTTTTCTCATAAAATCTTTCCATATCAGACACTCTTTTAAGTTTTCTTTGCTTACATAGTGACACTGTTGTACCATTACCTGGGTTTTTGGTATTATGATATATGATAGATACCTAACATGTTACGACCTTTAACTTTTTATCATATCACATGGTTTATAAGTTACTTATATTGGTGTCGAATTATAATCATGTATCAAACGACAGTCATGTTAAAAGTAGGTCAATTATATATGAATATATTAAAGAGACAATAAAGAGTGATCAACCTAATCAATTAAAAAGAGAAGCTAAGAACATTGTTCCACAACAAATTAATGGCCAGCATGAGGCCGACAACATCAACGCATAAATCTAATCTTGGTTAAATATAAGCATTCTTGTTTAGAAAAGGCATGATTAGATGCCTATCTAACTTATACATGTCTTTGTATTTTTATCTATTCATCTACCATCAAAAAATAATTTCTTTCTTAATACTACCCTGGACTTATGTCACATTGATTTAAAACGATTCCCATTAGTTTAATTTTTGATAAATAGCCACAAGACAACTTAACTTCTACATGACGACGCTTCTATAGCCGAGAGATCATGATCAGATTACTCAAATACTTAATCACTATTAAGTACATGTGGATGTTAGTCCCATCATTATGTTATATCCATTAATAATCATTTAACACCCAACATTAGTGTTTATTCATTATTTTCTTCTTTAAAGTATGATCATTGTAAAGATTCTGAATACATTAGTATCAAAGGAAGCACAAAACATGCAAGTTTGAACATTTAAATGAATCAAATGAATCAAATTAATGTAACTGCTCACTAACGTATATTAAGATCTCTACGTAATCAACATTACTTTAAATTAAGTTCATATAGTATCAGTTCAATATATCAAATCAACTAATTATACCAAGTAAATTTCATACTTATTGCAAAAGACTTTGTGTAAGAGTCATAAGTAGGCCAATAGCTTTAACTTACCCAAGTTTCCTCTCAAAGCTACACTAAGACGCTAAACAACTCCGAATACATTCTCTATGTGTTAGTTTGTAACCTACCAAAAACTTTGATGAATTATTTAACCTACGTAGTGGTCTTTGCAGATTCTGTTGAATATATATGCCCAAGAATCATTATTAAGTGATATTGTTAATAACATATGATCATATACGGTCATACCTTTATCAACTTGACACATTTTGTATATTTATTATTAACGTGATTATTAATAAATAATATCAATTATTTAATTTGATTAACAAATTAAAGACATCCCAAAGATTAGTAGAATCATCTAAAACAACAAGTATTACATTAAGATTGGTAGAATCATCTAAAACTTTAGGGTTTACATACCTCAGTTTCATTCGTATAAACATCAAACCCACTGATTCCCTTACGAAACTGGTTCCCAACCTGCTGTCGATCAAACTTTAACTTCCATCGCTTAAATCTCCTGTCGCTCTCTTTGAGTCGGTCGAGAATTAGGAGAAAAAAATGGAAGAAATTGTATTTGTCTTTACAATTGAATACCGATGAGGAATATAAATACCTTTTTGATGCCATTTTCTTAAATTTAATCTGTCTACAATCACGAGAAACAGAAAAGATGCTTCTCAATCTCGATTCTCTGTGTTGATTTCTGGATCCTTGTGAGATATTAGATTAGAAGGTTGATGTTTCAATGGAAGAAGATGAAAATCCAAGAAGCTATTTCTATTGCCCACCAAGTGTTTGATAAAATGCCCAAACCAGTTTTTCTCTTGTTGCAACTTTATTGTTCAGGATAATCTAGTTTGCTTAGTTTGGATGCTCCTTGTGCACACCAACTGTGTGTTGGTGTGCTATTTCCTTTCCTTCCTTTTTAAATATTGTTTCATAGCTTAAGCTTCATCTCGAGGCTTGTTCTCTTGTATCGCTTCTTCTTCTACAAGTTCGAGTGATATTTATATGTGCCCGTTCAGAAGCATCCATTGTTGCCTAAATGGTGAAGTGGGAACTAAGGGGAATGGCCGTATGATTTTACACATCAAAAGGCATCATCTACTTACTGAAGATCGTAAATATGTTTTACGTGAAGCTCTTTCTAGTGATGTTGGTTTATTTATGGCGGTGGAAAAAACTTTGAAAGCCTTTGGTCAATGTATGTGTGGGAAGTGTATGGCTTTGCATGCTGTTAGCCGTTATTGTCATCACCCGGATGGTCGTGTGAGTTTTGTTACAGGGGCTGACGGCTCGAGTCGTTACATTGTCGGTATTTTAAAGCCGTCTACTAAAGAGTCGGTGGCAAATGTTCTTGGAGGTTTGGTTTTTGATCTTGGGCTCCTTGATCGTGTTTTTAAAGAGCCTATAACTACTGTTAAGAGTATCTCCAAAAGTTGTCGCCTTGCTTTCTTTTAGGATTTGAAAACAACTCTTTACAAGGTGATTGCCCAACCCGGCTCGGTTGATGCATGGATTTGCTTGTTACTTCTTCCTCGCTGCACACTGCAAGTGTTTTGGACGAAGAATAGACAAGAATGTAGGTCTGGGAATAGAAAATCCTTACAACAAAGCTCCATCTTGAAGTCCTTGGATACATGGGGGAAAGAGGATGGTATCAGGAAGTTAGTTCAAAATATGTTAGACACTCCTGATGTTAGGGCCATGGGACAGGGTGGAGGCATCCTTCAGAAAAAGTCTACATCAAGTAACACCAACATCAGGCAGTGTCTCCGTAAGGTTTCAGATGGGCATTTTATCTCAACAGTGAAAGTGTTATTCTCATCCGATGTGGGTAACAAGTCATTTAGGGGATGACTCGCGAACTCCTGTCCCTATCGCACAAGCATAAAACCCTAATTAGAAATTAGGTCACATTCTAACCCGAAAGTCCAAAACCCTAATTCTTGACTTAAGGCAAAAAGGGCTTCTTTACTTTTTCCTCATTGGGCCTCCCTCCTCCTAAGGCCCAAATCCAATCACAGTCTAAAAAAGGCATCCTAGCCCAACTATAATGCCTCTAAGGCCCAATATGGCCCAAGAACCCCAAACATAGCTTTCGGCCCAAAAATGACCTGCTACAATCGGTGGCCCCGAGGGCCCAACTTACTGAAGTCCAAAGCCCAACAGCAATCGAGCCCAAAAACCTTCTAGGCCTACTGACTGCATACGCGTGACGTACTTGGCTTCTACGCCCAGCGTACGCTGGTGTTGACCATGAGTCAGGATGCTGACCCAGTATGCACAACGTACACTGGAGTATGCATGGCATACTGGTCTGCCAACCCAAACCCACTTCCATGTCTTAATCCATTAATACCTAATGTCCAAAGCTTACATCCAAGCCCCTAATAACGTCTTAAGACATAAAGTTGCAAACTTTATGCTTTTGCATGCAAGGATGGGGCTCAAATCATGAATCAACTACGTAAGCACACTTGGATGGTTACTAACACTTGCATTGTTGAGGCTTAACCATCAAGAGCCGATTTTTATGACTCAAAACACTTCCAAGAGTCGAAAAGGACAGCTCATATGGTTTGAAGTTGCTCATCCTCCAAGAATCCAAACTATGCCAAAAGATAGCATTTTCTACCCTAAACCTAGATCTAAGCTTGCAATGATCAAGGTTCAAACTTTTTACCTTCAATGGGCTAAAAATTGTGCCAAAATTCTAGATCTACAAGCTCCTAACACGTACTTGCTTCCTCCCAAGCTTCCTTCCCCTTCAAAGTCACTAAAGAACACAACAATCACTCAAGAAAGCTTACAAATGCACTCAAGTTGACTTAGGGTTCAAGATTTGCACTACAAGAGAAATGGATGCTAAAAAGGTAAGGGGATTGAGGGAATTAAGGTCCTTAAACAGGGTGGAAACCCTAAAAATTATGGTTTGCCCCTGGCTTGGTTACGCCCAGCGTACGCATGGGTACGCCCAACGTAGGCTGAGGATCCACCGATGGCGTGCATGCAGCTAGTACGCCATGCGTACTCATCATCCTTCCACCACCTTAATTTTAATTGAAAATAGACTAAGTCAGAAACTTCATACCTAGCGAATCGGGTGCTACAATTCTCCCCCACTTGAATTAGACTTCGTCCTCGAAGTCTGCTTCCAGAAATAACTCCGGGTACTGCTCTCTCATCTCGTCGTCCGACTCCCACGTCCATT